GGATGGTTCTCACAGCTGCCAGTATAGACCACACATATTAACCCTAAAAATCAAGTGGAAGCCAGGGCCAAGTCACCAAGCTGGACACTCCAAGCAGTGCCAGCTGTCCCTGGGATGGTCACCCATGACCCTGCAACCAAGGAGGTCTGCTCTGTCCTCTCTCAGGGTGCTGGGTCCAGCCCTGGATCCAGCCTTTCCCTGGAGCACAGAGGTCCCTGTGGTGCATGGAGGTGTCAGGGTCGGCCACCCTCTAGCCACTCATCCCACAGGACTAGAGGTTTCATCCAGCTACTCGCAGTGTGAATATATTCCATGAGTATCCCAGCCCTGACCCTAGTTATCATGCCTGGCATCTATCAAATCCCACGTCTCCTTGGTCTGTTACCATTTGACCTCCTCTTAAGAGTCTGGTAAGAAAACCTTTCCCACACCCAAACTCTGGCCCTGCTGCCAGCACATCTGGAACAGCAGCAGCCTCCTGGATCCCACATCACCCTCTGTCTGACCTTGCAAGTTGGAATCTGCCTGTTCTTGAGAGTAAAAGGCAGAAAAAGAAAGAAGAAGGAAGAGTAAAGCAACAAAAAAAAAAAAAAAGAGAAGGATTAACAACACTGAGAACCAAAAAGCAGAAGGAATGGCAAAAAAAAAAAAAGGGGAAAAAAATTAAAAAAAGCAGAAGGAATAGCAGAATGGAGCAATACCAAGATGTGCACCACAACTAAAGCAAACTACAGAACTGCTTCCCAGCATGGGCAATTGCAGGCAATGTGACAGGTTTCCCAGTCTTAGAGGCCCTTGGACCTCCATCCTTGAAAGTCTTCAAGACCAGATGAGACAAAGCCCTGTGCAACCTGGCCTGGCCTGCTGTGAGCAGTGGGTTGGACTAGAGGTCTCCTGAGGTCCCCTCCTCCCTGAATTATCCCATGGTCCTATGATTCAACTGTTCCTAACACACTGCCAAGTAGCGCGTGGAATACAGAAGGTTTTTCTGTGCATGGCATAGACGAGGAAGGCAGGGAAGGCTCTCAGGAGAGGTGGATAGATGAGGTGGGTATGCTTGCTTCACTTTTGGGGCAAAAGAGGAACTGACACCTCCACAGCACCATGGTTTTGTCTGAAGCGCAAGTCTTGCACGGTCTGGGTGTGAGGACGTGCCAAAGACCTGCAGAGTGCAAATTACTGGGTTTGACAGCAGAAAAACCCGGGACACCGCAGGGTGGAAGAGGTGCAATCAAAACGAGAAAGACGCCGCGCCATCGCAGTCACAACGCTCGTGTTGCGCAACGTCCAGGCGGGTCTGCGAGGGGCTGTGGCCCCCAAAACGGGGCTTTGTCATTACACACGGCTCATTCCCTGCGGGCAGCCGGGGGTCCGGGGCAGGGAAGCGCGGCAAGGGGGCGTGGTCATCCCCTCGTGGGGGCGGGGCTTTGGCGGCCCCGGTTTAAGGGCAGCGGAGCGGGGAGAGCCCCGTAACCCCCGGCAGAGCCCCGCATCCCGCTCGGTCACGGTAAGCGCTCGGCTCGGCTCGGCTCGGCTCGGCTCGGCTCGGCTCGGCTCGGCTCGGCTCGGCTCGGCTCGGCTCCGAGCCGCTCCGCTCCGCTCCCCGACCGCCGCGGCGGGCGGTGCCTACGGGATCCACCGTGTCCCGGTCGTCGGGGAACGGCTTGTGGCCGGGCTGAGCACCCGGTTGTAACCGTTGCGTGCTAATGACTTGCTTTATTAATTAGTGGCTGCTGCCGGCTTCGGTTGATCGCTGCGATGCCCGCCCTGAGGCCGGGCGCTTTGCGGGAGATGTGTTTGCCAAGCGCGTTCTTGATTGAGAAGTGATGCTGCCCGCTGCTTCCCCCAGACACCCAGTTTGGGCTCGAAGCTCCCGAGGGCTGGTGGTGCTTTACACCTGAGCTCTGCACAAGCCACGGTACTTTGGTTTTTGGTTGTGTAATTAAATGTAGTATATAAAGCCAGCTGTGCTGCATGGGACTTGAAGATGCTGTTCAGGGGTTTGCTTGGTTTGGGATGCTTTCCTCCCTCTTGCTTCTGAATGTTCCTAAGGAGCATATAAATAAATGTGCCTCAGTGAACCACAGCTGTATAAATAATGGCTCAGTGAACCACAGCTGGTGGAACTGATGCTTGTCTTCAGTCCATGATGCAAACCTGGTCTAAAGCTTCAGCTAGGAAATGATGGTCTGTAGGGTTTCTTGGTTTTTATAGGCATATTTTTAGGTATAGAGCTCTTATGCTTTAGCAGTCCAGTTCAGTATTGTAATAATCAGTTTTTATTTTGGTTACAAAAGGTATTGTAAGTTACATTTAGAAACGATAACAGGTCTCTGTCTTTTAGACCAGTACTTTTCATGGTTGTTCACTATCTGCTAGTATCTTTAAGAACAGCAGCTGAAAGACTGGAATTTAGTCCCCAAAGGAGGTAAGGTGTTTAGAATCTGGCTCAGTGCTACTGCAGAAGTGTGCACAAATAGGCAGAGAAGTCGAATCAGTTAACTGATGTGTAAGAGATGGGTTGTGATGTTTGCTGGTATCTGTTGGTTATCTCTTGTGCAGGACGGCTGAAGTGGCAGAGGGAAGAGCAGTCTGCGGTGACAGGAAGGCAGTGGGACCCCTTGCTGATGCTGTCACAGAAGGGCTTGCAGCATCGTTGCTGTTAGGCAAAACTTCTTTGTTTGCCTACTGGCTTGGCCACACAGCCTCACTTGTCAATTTTCTGCTCCTTCTTCATACTGACCATAGTTGCCTGGAGGTGCAGGCAGAGGAAGAAAGCCTCAGTGTGCAGAAGAGATCATTCCAGCCTCTTAATCTCAAACATCTTGGTGTGGTTTTTCTGTCTTTTCTAACATCTGAGAAAAAAACTGATGTACAATACCTTGGTAAGTACAGAGATTCTATCTATATGAATTTTCATGAGATAATTGAGGCACTTATTTAATGAGATAATTGAGGCACATTTCCATATGTTCTTGCAGTGCATAGTGCGGTGGGGTTTTGCTTGGTGGGTCTGCTTGTTAGTCATTAACCCAGCAATAAGAGGAACAATAGGAAGAGCTTTGTTGCCTGCTCCATTTTAGCTTGACAGATAAAAGCAAGGAAGAGGGATCCTGCAGGTTTTTTGCAGAGAATATTGCTCTATCTGCCACTCCCAAGCAAACAGTTAACCTCAGGCCAATGCTACCACAAATTTAAATTTAATCCTACCTTGGAGATTTTACATTATTGGAGTGTTGCTCTTTAACTTGACTCTCAGTTCTGAAGTGAAGACCTCAGGCAAGCAAGGATGCCAGTGATGTAGGAAAAATACTGGATCTCTTGCCATTACCCAGGGGACCCAGGGCTCAGTCTTTGATGCTGGCTCATCCTTGCAGAGGAGGGAGAAGATTGCTAGAATGATGTCTCGTGGTGTTCAGACCCACTCTGGGCTTTCTGTCCCATGTGTGTGAGGAGCCCAGACTCAGCCAAGCTGGGACTGAGGTCTGGCTTCTGTCACCACCAGAATCGGGCTGACAAGAGGCAGGGAGAGGACACAGCCTCAAACTCACTGCCCCGCTCTGATTAACAGATTATTTGCAATGAGCATCACTAGATAAGCTTTGCTTATACAGGCTAAGGTAAACTGTAAGTGACGATGTACTCATAGAGAGCTTTTGACAGAGCAGGGCAGCGTCTTGGCTGCCTCTTCTGGCCAAAGACCTCTGTGCAGTTACTTGCTCGGCCATTCACACCCTCAAGTGCATGGGGGGAACAAACATCCTCTTGACCTTGTGTCAGCTTTTGCCTCCTCTCCTGTATGTGCCACCTCACTGGTATCTATTGAGCTTTAATGTATTTTATGCATTTCAAATAGTCAAAGAATTGTTTTAGAAGTACAAACCCTCAAATAGCTGAAGCTTCCCTGAAACCTGGAAGCCTTGAGCATTCCATTGTGGTTCTGAATGCCTAGTAAACCCTGGAGGGTGACAGAGACTACTTCAATGCTGTCAGACTGGTTTTAGGTGTGAAAACACATGCCATTTAACATCGGGTTTGAGCACATGTGGTGGTCTCGTAACCAGTCCTGCTCCAGCCGTTGCTTTTGTTTTTTTTAAGTCCTGTTATTTCAGCCTGTAAGCTGAAATCCTACAGTTCTGATCACTGGGGATTTTCATGGTCTCAGACTGGAAGCGAGAGCCTATGTTTGAACTATTGGACATTTAAAACAGATGAGGAAAATACATGTGTATTTTTCTCTTGCTTTACTTTAAGACAACACAAATTTTAAGAGAGTCATGTCTGGCTGCACTCAAATGAATACCAAAAGGAAACAATAACATGTCATGAAAGACTAGCTGAGTGGGTCTGAAAATCCTCCTGACCGCTCTGGAGAGCCCCAGACCTGTGAATGTAAACCCAGGTAAGGTGCAAAAGCAACCCCAAGAAGAAATCCTTTGCTAGAGAGTTACCTTGATAGGAGAGATGTCTCCAGACCCAGAGGTCTGATCTATTTGAGCCTCCCTCCAGCCTTCCCCTCCATCTGCTGGTGTTGCAGCAGTACCTTTGCTTAGCCAGTGCCAGAGAAATTGGAGCCCTGCTGTGTCTTCTCTGCTACAGGGATCCTTCTTGTTCATCACATGGAATAAGCAGTATCTTTTCCAAAGCTAGTAATTACACATATTTATTAATGAAGCAAGCTAAGAAATGGTGCTACCTGTGAGCAGAGGTGAGCACCTTCACTGTTTTGGAAACCTTCTTGCAGACCTTTTCCTGCAGTGACCTGTCCTTCCGCAGGCAGGCTTGAAGGTGGAGCAGAGTGAGGCAGCATTTGCCGGGTGATGCAGAGAGGCAGAACTGAACAATCCTTAGGGTCCAGATCTGGTCTTTCTGTTTTAACTTGCACAGAGCTGTTGCCACCTTCACTATTCCTCTCTGCTTTTTCAATGAGTAGCTACCTAGGTTTGTAAGGAGTTGGAGATTTTGGTTATTCAGTGGAAGAAAGATGCTGCCAAGTTGGTCCCCTGTTAAGAAAGGTGGCTGTAGTGGATAGTTATAATAACACAAATATGTGCCAATCTATACCCCTTCTTCCCTGTTCTCTGCTGTAGGGAGAGGCGACAGTTTTTTCCCCCTATCTAATAATGGCATTTAACTTTCATGTGCTGCTTTACATCTCACCTGAAGTTTTTCATCCTTAGGCCTGACATTCATCACCAGGCAGAATCGGTGCCCCAGCCAGCCAACATGACAGTGCTGTTTGATAACTTGTCATGCCATCACTCCATCGATGACTTCCGAAACAAAGTCTATTCCTCACTCTACTCCATGATCAGCATTATGGGCTTTGTTGGCAATGGGGTTGTGCTCTACATCCTCATAAAGACATACCGGCAAAAGACAGCCTTTCAGGTGTACATGCTGAACCTTGCTGTGTCCGACTTCCTCTGCGTGGCCACCCTGCCCCTGCGTGTCATCTACTACGTTCATAAAGGAAACTGGTTCTTCAGTGACTTCCTATGCCGGGTCAGTTCGTACGCGCTGTACGTCAACCTCTATTGCAGCATTTTCTTCATGACTGCAATGAGCTTCTTCCGCTGCATAGCCATTGTTTTTCCAGTCCAGAACATCAATCTGGTATCGGAGAGGAGGGCAAAATTTGTCTGCATTGGCATCTGGATTTTTGTCACCCTGACAAGCGCTCCCTTTCTGCGGAATGGGACGTACCAACATGGCAACAAGACCAAATGCTTTGAACCCCCAGAAAACTCTCAGAAGACAAACTTAGTTGTGATCCTGGATTTTATTGCCCTTATTGTGGGTTTCATCCTTCCCTTTATTGTCATAACTATCTGCTACACCATGATTATAAGGGCCTTAACAAAAAACTCCTTGAAGAAGAACCGGACTAACCACAAGAAGGCAGTCTGGATGATCATCATAGTGACTCTCACCTTCCTGGTGAGCTTCACCCCATACCATGTTCTGCGTACAGTCCACCTCCACGTGCTGAGGATGAAGAATGCCAGCTGTGAGGATGCCATATACTTACAGAAATCAGTTGTGGTAACGCTCCCATTAGCAGCTTCCAACTGCTGCTTTGACCCACTTCTCTATTTCTTCTCAGGGGGCAACTTTCGGAAGAGACTTACCACATTTAGGAAGGCTTCTTCTTCCAGCTTGACACAAGCCTTCAGGAAGAAGTTCTCCATGAAGGAGAAAGATGAGGAACCCTTTGGAGAAAGCCATAAGGAGAATGAAAAGGCATCTGTGACCCCTTCATAAGGAAGTGAATCTTCTCCCAAGATCTCACATGAACAATGGAAATCTCAGAACTCTTCCAGAAGACATGATGGAGGCTCACAAGCCTTCATAGCAGTGAGATATGTAATAACTGTGTATGATCCATGATTTAGGCTACTTGGTACTACAGCCACTGAGGGGGATGGCCAGCTGCTTCCCCAGCAGCACTGCTTGGACACACACAGACGTTTAGGATGGAGGAGCTAGCACTAGCAAACTATTGATCTGATGATAACCTTGCACAAGCAAACTCTTCAGAGCCTGTCTTTGGGCATTAGCTTCATGTCACAGCTTGACAAACAGCGTTTGTGCTGGTGGGAAATGTAAACACATTTGCTGTGCACAGCCCAGTGGCGTTCAGGGAGCAAGTGACAAATGAGGAGGGCAGAGTTTTCACAGGGTCTTCAAACAGCCACTAAATTATTTACACAGCAGAGGCCAGGATAATTCCTGCCCTGTTCCAGCTGCTTCTGCTTTGGATTGCAGTTTTCCAGATAATTATATGTGTAAGGCTTGCAGGGCTGGTGCCAGGCTCTGCAAACACAGGAACTCAGGCTTGAAGCCTGTCTCCCACCCCAAAGGGGCAGCTCTTTGGCTATGTTTCTGTGAGCAGTAGCTCTGCCAGTGTCTTTTGGGTTTCTAGAAGAATCATATCTGTGGGAGCAGTTTTAAAATTGCAGTATCCTTGTGTCCATCTGAAACTTATTTGAATGGGACTGGTCCTGGAAGCGATGGATTATCACTCCAGTTCTTTGGGAGGTTTTACCTTAAAGCATGGGTCTGGGTACCCAGAGTCAGTGCAGGATCAGGCCGTTCTGAGATAGTGACCAAGTTTTTTAAACAAATATTTAAAAAAAAAAGGCAAAAGTTGTTTTTAAAAATAGCTATTTATAATACTTGACCCTGCTCAAGAGCGTTCACCTTCCTCTCATGTTGCAGAAAAGGGGCAACCGAAGGCCTTTGGAAAAATCTGTAGAAAGACCTGTATAGTGGAAAGCCAGATTGGGCTATGTTTCTTAGGTAAAGAAAAATGCCAGAGTCTTGGACAGAAGGAAACATTCCCGTGCTTTTCCAGTGAACCCCATGGAAAAGTAGTGCTGCCTGACTTTTGCCGGAGCAAAACCCAGCTAGAGATGTGTGATGCTTCAGAAAAGAAACAAATTCTTGTAGGATTAAGACTCTTAGTGGGAAAAGTGGTTGATATATCAATAGTGAGTATGTTTTGATATGGTATTTGTGATGTTACTTGATGTAATCTTAAAGAAATCCATTTTAATACTGTACAATACGAGTGAGCAAAGGCAGTTTGGCTTGGGGCAGAGTTCTGCTTGAGAAACTCTTTACAGATACACAGATGAGTAAGTTCACTGTTTATACCACACTGTGTATCCCTGGGTCATCAAAAAGCACTTAAAAAGGCAAATTTGCCTTCAGATGACTCAAGGGTGTGACTTTTCAACAAGATTTGAAACCCCTTTATAAAAACTGCAAGGATGTGTGAAGTGGAAGAGGGCTGGAAGCTGCTGGTGTGCAGGAGTGTTACAGCTCCCCCTAAACGGCAGAACTTCTAGCTCACAGCTAGACCTGTAGGCTGCTATGAGAAAATGAGTGAGAGTTGGCTAAAACTTCTTTTCAAGGTTTAGCATTGAGTATTCTAGTTGTGGTTTTGGGGCATTAAAGGCATTGTGCAACTGTAAATAGAAATCCAGGAAAACTGAGTGAAATAATACCTAGGAATAATATGCGTATTCCCAAATCTTAAAATATTGTACAGTAAAGCACCATTTATATATATTGCAAAGCATTTCTATTGTACCAGAGGTGTATCTTTCCTATTTTATTTTTTTAATGAGACAATGGTCATGGCAAGAGAAATGGCAGTGGTTCTGTGCAATAGGGAAGACTATTTAAAAAAAGCATGGTGAAAATTAAACGACAATGTTGTAAGTAAAATGTTACCACTCACTGTTTTCTGTCTTTGCATACAGATTCTCATTCCTTACAATGCATTTTTGTCTACACACAGCACTAGCGTAATACTCGCATAACAATAATCTATAAGGATGTATGTGGGAGGACATGCTGGCTTGGAGCTGGAATTTGGTCCAGTCAAACTGGCCTTTGCTGTAACTCAACTTCAGTGGATTTGGGGCATCATCTGAGTCTTGGTAGGTTTTGCAGAGGAGGAGCACCCCAGCAAATAGCAGCTGGGACCTCAACAGATTTCTATTTACAGATAGAAAATGCTTACAAGACATATGGAAGGAAGTAATGCTTTTGCTGAGCATGATGTATTTGGGTGTCCTGCGTGGTCATGTATCACATGCAGGTTCCTGCATGGAAAAGTCCCTGAGAATGATGTTTTCTGCTTAGTTTTTCCCAGAACAGATGCAGGATCTGCAGTGTGTTATTTAGTTACAGAACTCCAGCCCATACTGCTGAGGAGGAAGCTTTGCTGTCAGCTCAGCAGAAACTCAGCTCCACGTGAGACCCAAGGGCAGTCGTCCCCCACTTGTGCCTTTGCTTCACAGAACAAATAAAAGTGCTGTCCTTGCAGCAAATGCTGCTTGGGTTCTGCTCAGGATTAAGGACCTGGAGAGAAACAGGTGCCAAGAAACAGGAGCCATTACTGTCATGAGGTGAGCTTGAAATGTGGTGTTTGTATGATCTCTAAAAAACGACAAGGGGTGGGAAGAGGGGACAAAGTGCCATCCTGGTACAGCGCCGGTGTCAGGAATGCCTAAAAAAAGTAAAGTGTTGGGTTTCTTTCTTGAAACTGGACTGGTTTTTTCCTCTGTATGTGCTGCAGTTTATGGTACAATAGTGTCCCCTAGTGCTGCATTATTCCTGGAGCAACTGCCTGTTGCCTAATGAGGTTTCTCCTTTTTTCAGATGGTGCTCATCGCCTGTTGGCTCTGGTGCTGGTCACAGGCAATTCCCCCTTTCCTGCCCCCGTCTACATTTTATTTCATAATCTTTGGGGTTTCCCTCTTGCCTTCCTCTTGGTTTTTTCCTGTTTTCCTGGAGGGAAGGACCCAGCCATGGAAAGGGGTCCAGGTGCACTCATTCCCACGTGGCTGAAGGGAACCCAGGTCCCTTCTCCTGCTCTGGGCTCCAGCAGCACCATCCACATTGTCTAAAAAATGCTGTATCTCCATTGAATGTCTGTCCTGGAATGGAGCTTGGACCCACAAAGCTTTTGTTGGAAGTTGGAGGTAAATACAGCCCTTTGGTATCACATCACCATGGCGGAAGTCCTAGTCAAGAGGAGAAGGGTTTGTCACAATGCTGTGATGCTGAAGAGGCAGGCTTTGCTGTGCTAACCTTTCACTTACACACTCCTAATTTGGCAAATAACAATAATTCAGTGTGTAAATTAGGCAGCAGCATTTGTACTTGTACTGCAGAATCTGTTTGCCCAAAGATGGAAAAATAACTGGAGTATCATAAGCACTCCCAACCAGCTGCCTTCTCATTCCTGACCATCACTTGCTGTGCGTATGTCCATCTGAAGCACTCAAAAACTTGGAATCAGGCCTTCCAAACCATCGCTTAATATGGTCCATGTCTTTTCCCAGTGTGTTGAAAAGGCACCACCAGCTTTTTAGAGTATGAAGTGGAATAAATGTTTGAATACAAGAGAGAAAAATCTGTGTCGTATCTCGATGGAAGCAGTAACCTCTTTTGGGGGCCCGGGGATTACAGCGCAGCAGATAGCATTCACATTCTTCAATGGGAAGATGGGGCAGAGAGTATCTCTTAGCAAACAAGAACTCCTGGTCTAGCAGCTGCTCAGGGCATGGTGCCTCCATACAGAGGAAACCCCTCCCCCTTCATCTCCTAGAGGACTGGTTTCAGATAAACTCCTGTGCAAGCAAAGAGCACCAAACAGGCGCCATTTTGTCTTCATAACAGGCTAAAATGTGGTTTTATTTGTGCTTATTTTCGGAGAGGGTCCAAAGCAGGCACCTGCTGCCAGAAGCTAACCACAAACCAGATTGCTGTTTGCAAAAAATAACACAGTCTTTCTGTTTCCAAGAGAACAGTGCAAACCTTGGTTTCCAATGAATCCTGGCCTTGACCGCTCTGTGTTCCCCTTCAGCAGCTGCTTGGGATGGGCCTCCCCACTGCAGCCTTGCCTTGACATGCAGGATAGTCAGCAGGACTCCCCCTTGCCCTTTACTTTTCTTCATGTTCTTCTTGAGCCACGCTAAAATCATCTGACCCTGACTGCAGGGAGAAGGGCACTTGCTGATTTCTCCTAAGCTATGTGCCCCATGTGTCATCAGACAGAATTACTCTCTACTTCTGGAAGTGTTAAGTTCTGGGTGAGTTTTCTCCCCACATGCATGTATCTTTTTGATCGCACTATAAATCACAGGAGGTGACATCGTATTTCCAATACTTGATGGCATGTCTATGTTGTTTACAAGCCTTTTGTGGTCTTTTTTCCTCAGGTTGTAAAAACACTCCCTTTTTCACAGTTGTGATGCTATCGCAAGTTGTCGTTTGAGGTTTTTTAACACCACACCATTTTTGCCTGCTATGGGGGTGAATCCCAATGCCACAGGCTGGGAAGTTCAGAAATCATGCATTGGATGCAACCACCCTTATTATATATGAAGTGTCTTCACATAAAACGCTTTCAAGATGTGAGAGTCTTCAGTTTAACAAGCAATAAGCTCCAAGCACTGGCAATAAAGAGAGATTTCCTGCTCTGCCCAAGGTGCTTTCTCCCCTACTGTCTCTGGGAGCCTGGGCATGTATTCTGGGGCTGGAGTGGCTCAGTGCAACACACTGGTGTGCTACCACTGCAGTAGGGGTCTGTACACCGAGGGGCTGCAGATCCCGTAGCAGAGCTAATTCTCAAGCTGAATCCTAATTTAGCCCTTTTCTTTTTTTACCCTTTTCCACTATAGTCTGGTATTAGAAGAGGGAATTCTTCTATATGGCAGGAGGGAGAACACTGGGATCTTTATCCTTCACATACAGCAGCGGAGGGTATGACCTGGTTACTAGGGAAAAAAAACAAAACAAAAAGTAGCAAAAATGAAGGAAAGTACATCACATTTTAAAATACCATCAGTGTAAGGAATAAAACGTCTTAGAAGTGCTACTGAAAGGAAACCTGAGGGATGAAGAGTCCAGTCTGCCTCTTGGGGTTACAAATCCACCTCCTGGTGCATGGGTTGGCAAGATTGGGAATTCAACCTTTCTTCTCCCAAGCTGTTAATTTCAGGTCTGCGAGTGGCCACACGCACAAAGAAATAGTTGGAGCATTTGCAAACTTCACTTGAGGGTGAAATGTGCCTGTTTCTTTCCTGTTAATGTGGCTTCTTAAGCTTTAAAGGAAGCCAGACTGCTCTGGAGCAAAGTGAGGACCCTTTGTTAGTTCCATAAATATATTCAAGATGGACATTCACCATGTTTAGGGGAAGAAAAAGTGTAGGAGTTAGAAGACCTACCCTATTCCAGTTGGTAACAAAAATTCCACTTCCAGGAATCTGCTGCATGTCTCTGCTAGGGATGTTGAAGACTAAACAGAGTTTGGTTTTGGTTTAGCCCATTAAAATCCTTTTATTTCTGAGGAGCATGTCTCTGTGATGCTCTGCTTGAGCTTATCTTCAAGGCTCCACGCTGCCCCCATGACTCCCCCAGGGAACGCCTCATGGAATCAAGGACAAAAGGCACAGCATTGCCCTGTGTTTTGGGAATCACTCTCAGCACCAGGAAAGAGGTTTCTGCAGATATTTTGTCCGGCAAGCCCATGCCAGGAGTGCTGCAAAGGGCTAACTTTTGTGAGCAGCTATTGCAACAGGCAAGCGTGTGGCCTGACTGTTGAAGCATTTCATCCACCACAGGAGTCAGCCGAGGCTTTTTTTCCCTTCTGAGTAACCGTTTGAAACGAGACAGTCCCTATCCTCTGCCCCTTTTTCCGTCCACGTTACTCATGGCAGGAAGCTTGCTGCGCTGATGATCACACACTGCTTACGTGAGCGAGGGCTCAGAAATGCTACAGCGCCCTTTCACCACTATTTTTCAAGGAAAGTGGAATGAGAAATTCCCCATAATTGGCCTTGAGCCTCTGCCTCTTGTAAGCAGCATCTCCTCCCACATGCCTCCATGTCCTTCTTCCGCTGACTTACAATGCCACAAGTTCACAGGACTTCACAGCTGGTTTATGTTCCTCCTTGCCAGGTGCCCAGGCAGGAAGGGCATCACTGCAGCTCCCCTACAAACATAGAGCAGCATCCTCACCCTGTGCAGAAGAGTTTGTGGTGCCCACACCAGTGCAGCATCCCGTTCCCTACCTGGGCAAAGGAGAGCAGCAAGGCTCCATGGGCACAGTCCAGCCCCCATGACAAGGTGGCCCAGAAGACCTGCCCCAAAGCAGACCCATGAGTTATGCACGAGGGCTGTCTGGCCCCGCGCTGCACTGGACTTGGGGTGAGCAGAGGCTTTGTCCTGTATTCAGGTGGATTTTCTGCTTTGTGATGCAGGGTGATGACTCCAGTCAGGGTTAATCATATCCTGTGGTAGGAAAAACAGGCTTTGGGGATGTGAACTAATAAAACAGAGGCACTGAGAAACAGTTGCCAAAGCCCCGGGGGACAGTTCTGCACATCCTGAGGTCCTGAGTACTTTTACCTTGTGATGTAGCAGGAGAACTTGTAGATCACAAGATAATCACTGCCTGTTCAAATCTGAATTGTGCTGTTAATACCGAGCTGACTGTAAAGTCTGCTTTCACTGCCACTAAAACTAAAACTGATCATTACAATCTGGGGTTGTTCCAAAGGTCAGCAACTGTTCCCAGTGCATCTGCATGGGCTGATCATAGCAGGGGACACTGTGGCAGGTCAGGAGAACAGACAGCTGTAGAAAGCAGCACCAACAGTTCAGCCTTGGCATCTGCCCATATTAAACCTCTAAGTACAGTAACTCTCTCCTGTGTGATGGCAGAGACTGA